TTTGATATGGTAATCACAAATGTGTTTTATAATTTACAAGTCCAATGGTAATACAATTCCGTTTCGGTTGTATTTTAACATAGAGAAATATTTTGTTTACTATACTTAATAGTATATTTGTGTTAACAAAACGTTTGTTATATGATACGTTTTTGAATGTCCCTTGTCTCGTAAGTAAAGTTTATTCAAGTTATATTATCTTATTCTAATTGTTATCACCGCTTTTAGACTACGATGTAATTTTTTTTTTTATAAAATAAAGTGGCAAACGAGCACGCGGCCACCTAAAACCGCCAAAATGGCGAAGCGACCGCTGCCCATAGACATCCGCAATTGCGGATGCGTTGCCTACCCTTATACGACGAAGGAGGAGACGCATATGAAGAGGATATTTCCCCTTCTTATGCATCTCCTCCGCCGTCAAATTTACTTCCTCTTCCCATCCTCTCCTTATAAAAAAAGGGTGGTAAAGAGAAAGGGACTAAAATTAGGCCTCCGGCACCACACTCATCAGACGAAACACGGAATTGCTTCCATTTCACGCCTGTCTTCTGTGTGGTCGTGGTATTACACCGGGCGAGCCGGCTCAATCGTGCTAAGATGTTAAAGCGGGCACTACCACTGTTTACACTGTATCAACGCTTTTAAACTACGATGTAATTTTGATCCTTATTCTGATTAAAGTGAACTTATTTTAGCTTTCATTTTTTGTACTATCAATCCTTTAAGCACCAAACGTATAATTTACTTCAAAGTAAGTTCAAAAACTCTAATGTTGAAAAGTCAAGGTTTTTGACCCCTAGACATCTGTCAGTATACGAGTTATTCGGACATTTCTTTAATCGGGCAATAGGGTTGTAATTTTTTTCACCGTTGGCCGGGCACAGGTCACGGTGATCTACCCCCGGGGTTGCCCCACGTGCCATATTGTGAAACGGTTGTCCCGGACAGATGTTCGCCCCAAAATAAGCTTTTAATTGCCCCAGGTGAGTTATGCGTTGTTTTGTTTTCGGTCGGTTTACGAGCCGCCTCACCACCTTTATATCGATAGATTGTCTATTATTTTTTATTTATTTAATTGTACGAGATATTTAACGTGGAAATGACGTGTACAAGGATTTAGTTTTGGCAACCTGATGAATTATTTACCTATTTAAAGCCAAAGTTTGAAAACTAGACTTTGAGATTTCTAGTGAGACCAGTGTAGTATAATAAACAATTTCAATTAATATTTGTTAGTTTTTCTCCTATAGTAGCCCCCGTAGTAGAGAAAGTAAGGAGTAAAAGGTTAGCATGGTATGCATGTTATGAGGATGAATCGCATGTTACAAGGAGAACGTTAGTTATGAGTGAAGGGTACATAGGTAGAGGTAGACCTAGAAGGAGATGGATGGACATGATCAAAAAGGGAGTGATGACTGAGATGACGTATGATAGAGTTATGTGGAGGACAAAAACCTGTTGCGCCGACCCTATGGGAGTAGGATAAGGAGGTGATGATGATGATGATTAGTTTTTCTCCTAATTAAATACAAATCATTTAACATCTATGCTACTGGTTTCTTTTTAATTAAATTAAATAAAGTTAAGTTATAAGTTAGCTAAGATTGTAACTAGAGTGTCGTGACTGGGTACTATTAAGTGAGCAATCAGTTGAACCGACTTGAGAACCGTTATCGACTTTTGTACCCACCTCCTAAATTAACCTTTGTTATTGTTACTTTTGTCACTGACGGAATAATAACATCTAAGGGTCCGTACACACAGAGTTGAACAGAATTTTTTCGTAAATAAATCGGTTTGATATACTTCGTCGATGATTTGTTTCGATCGTATAAAGCTAAATTATGTATGAACGGTACCTAAGAAGTCTTGTAATTAATTCTAGTAAATTGGATAATTTTAAATTAGTCTATAATTAAATTTCTTTTTAATCACACTTTGCTGATGCAGATGTACAAAAAGATAGACAATTTTATCTCTGCTTTTTTAAAAGAAAGAGCGAGATAACAGTATGTTTATTAAGATGTTCTTCAGCAATCGAAACAGTAACATATGCCCTCTTTATTCTAAAATACTTTCCACCACTGAGCTTTTTGTCATTAAATTGTAATTTATTACATTTTTTCTTTTAAAATATCATGACCACGGTCACACTGTTTTAAACCTGATTTGCATAAACATTGTAATAAAGGATTTACATAAATATGTCACAAGAAAAAAACACGCAACCGCTAGAAAAATTACCCTTTGGTAATGCAAGTGGAAAACCTTACTTGACGTGTGAAACAAGAAAACAAATGAATACATTGAAAGATAAATTACAGGTATAAATAACCTAAAAGATAGAAAGCCTTACCAGAAGAAGTTAAACAGTGGTTAAATGCATTTTATCTTAAACATGCGCCAACTGTTTTATACCTTGACTAGCGAGCGGGGAAGATATTTGACAAATCATGTCTTGACGAAAAATAATAAAATAATTATATCGAAAATAATATGGTAAATAAACCACGTTGACGTATAATAATCAGCGTCGGTCAGAGTTAAAACAAGTTTTTAACTAAACAGTGTCTTACTATATTTTTTGGGGTAATACTCGTACATATAAGTTTGATGACTAATCGAGAGCCTATTATTTAAATATTTTTATAGCTTAAATAAGTACGTTAAAATCTTGTCATAAGAACACGTCTATTGGCTTTATAATATATTTTTCTAATTGCGAAGAGAGAAAGAGATGAATGTATTGCGTGAAAGGTGACCTGATTAGGAAGGGTGCGATGAGTGCGACGTATGATAGAGACGTATGACATAAACCTGGTGCGCCGACACTTCGGGAGTAGGATAAGGAGGAAGATGAAGTGCAATAAAAATAATTTCAAGTTCGCTATACGAGTTTCATATTTCTTTTCTGGCTTTCACTTCTGGTTTGTGCTTCGATAATTGAAGGTTACATATAATGCGTGATTATTTGTCTTTGAAACGTTTATTGTAACATTCGTAGCATGTACGTCAATACTCTTTGATTCGTTATTAAAGACATAATTATAAGTAATTAGATGAGACGCGTGTTAGTAAGTGAAAGTAGTCATAACTGCATTCTTTATTTCCACTTAGAGCGCCCATACACGAAATGTACAGTATCCACTTCAAGCAATCGGTATTGATAACGGCGGTTCGTGTATTGCAGAATAATAACTTACGTTGTTTTTTTTTAATAATCGTTTAACCATTCCAACTAAGCTCTAGGCTTGTGCTAGGATATGGTTTACGACAATAGTCGAATGGCAGGATTCGAACCCTCGACCGGAACATCGGTAGTCCATACCCCAAACCATGAGGCTATTGGCTCTTGAATCATGCTTCTATCTTACAACCTCACAAAAATGTATTTCAATAGATTACGAGTATGAATTTAAAACTAGCACTCTAGTATAGAAATTGTCATATTCAATTTAAAAGTAGAAAATAAAAAAAAACAATTCATCCATAGTCGGCGACATAATGGCGATCATACGAGTGATAAGCCCACCTCACCTCCGATTAGTGAGGTATCTCACCACGTTATCGATTAATCTTTACGATTACCGGCACTATCCCGATCTTCGAAACTCGAAAAACAATAAATCGAACTTCTATAAATAAATAATAGATGGCACTGTAAATAAAAATTAAAGATTCGAAGTCGATAACCGGTTGAAATTTATCGACACCTGTTCACATTTGCAGATAGTTAAGTGCATCTTTAATTGCATGTTTAAATTGGTAAAATAAAGTTATCTACGCCTTTTGTCCTGTCTTAAAGTACACTATTTATTAACACGTTTAATTATCATAAAAATAATGCAGACTTGTTAAGATTCGATTGATAGGAAAGTAATGGAAATGTTAACGGCCCGAGACATGTATAACGCTTATGCGATATTTATGTTCATTTATTGTATTGGAATTCGTACAATATTTTAATCTATGCTACCGCAGACAACTCAGCAAACATTATTCTCTGTTTTAATAAAAGTCCTTAAAGTGTTATATACTAATTTCATATATGATTTTACTGAACCTAGCTATTATTTGTTTGAATTTATTATTAAGATTTTCAAATGATACTTCAAAAGGCAAATAAAAATTTATTAGAATTGAATGACGTATTTGCTATTGGATTTCTACCATGATAATCGTTACATTTCGAAGCGCGTATCGACTATCGATAATGGCATCTCGGTACGACACTACCGGCCACATGTCGCATCACACGGCACAGTAATTGGCCACTCGGGCCGCGGGACTTTGCGACTGTTGTTTTTTTTTTATTACTACTGTATTTTAATATCGCGAATATTATGTTACAACTGTGACATTGTTTGTTCAAAAATAATATAAATATGAATATTTGATTAAAATAAATGTATCTTAAAATAACATGTTACAAACTTATTCCACAATGCAAGTAGGTAATAAACATTTCAACGCTATACATAATATTCACTTAAGATATATTTTGTGTTTATAGGCAAACAAAATTGCACCTTAATGAAATGAATTTAAAGTTCAATGTCAATTGTACAGGCAACCCTCAACGCAGCTTCCCTATTCGAGATTTGATTTGTCATATTATGAAACACGCCTATTTGCAATACGATACCATGTTAGACTTAATTCTATTTTCTACCTTACTATAAAGCAATATAGATCATTATCGTATGTTATTCTACTGTAGGTACATTTTGCATGCTATAAGATAGATGAAAATTTTTACATAGACTTTCGTATATTTTCGTAAATATGTTTGACTATGGTATAAGTTTTTATTTAACAGTTGTTTTTGTTTGATCAAATCTTGGTTATCCACATTGTCCTGCAAGAAAATTCAAATATTCAATTTATTTTGTAAAAGTGTTGAGATTTCAGTATTTTTTTTCTGTATTTCATATATTAATCTGTATTTGAGGTTATCCTGTTTTTAATAGCAATAAAACATATCCGTTTGTTTGCAGTGGTCATGCACAAGGAGAAGGAGGAGATGCTCGCTCATCGCCGGGATCACGCGCATTATGACCACGCTATGCCGGACGGCGAGATGTTCTTACAGGTACACCAAGATCCCACAGCTCCCAGACATGCGTCATGTTTACTAAGAACCAGAACCCTTATATATAAAGTTATTGTAAAGATATTTAAGTATATAAGTCATAGTAAAGATATTTAACTACACAACAATAAATCGAATCGTAAGCATACTATAAAATGAGTAAACACTATCCAAATGCTTCTGTTTCAGTTGAGGCTATTAAATTTTAGTTCGCCTCTTATCTTTTTTAGCAGCTATTACGTTGAGACGATAAATTAAAACGGATTGTTCGATAATAAATCAATATCGAACGCCGAAGCCATAAATAAGTGCAGGCTACAGACCCGTACTTAATATTTCACGATTTCGACTTACTGTAAGCTAGTTTCCACTGTCTGGTACGGCACGATATCATTAATAAAGTATTTATAATGCATTGTTATTAACTTTTAAATAAAATAGTATTATAAAAATGTCCAGTCAGTTGATTTCACAAATATTTTTGAATTTATTCTCCGATATAGGCACGTTGTAACATGATGGTTTCCTTAACCGTAAGCACGTCGAGTAAATTATCTGCAGATGAAAATCGAATAACACTTTGGTACACTGTAGATGAAGTCATGTGCTTAACCAGAACTACCGATGCTCAACGAGATATATTTGAAAAAAAATTTAAACTATCTTACCGTCCGACATTGGAAACAGATCCGTTATGTCTTACGAGTAAGTCACGTCGTAAGTCAGGCGCGTGTCGCCCGGTTCTCGGGAAATCTCAAAGAAACTTACCAAAAACATTTTGCTTTATTACTTCGCCAAATCTTTTGAATTCTATTGCCACTTTAAAATTCATTTGATATAATAGTAGAAACACAAATCCTTATGCCAAAAAATAACCGAATAGAGAGTCTGTTATAATTTTTAATCTGTGCAAAAATAAACCAGCTGTTCTTATTCTATGCAAAAAACATGTTCTAAATATATTTGAACGTGTGGCTGAATTACGCCTGTCAATTGTTTTTGTTTTAAATAATCTTCTGTATATTTCAGGCTCTCAATGGTTTTCTGATGATCCTAACATGCGAGGGGGAGGTATTCTTCGCGACGCACAGCATTGAAAGCTACCTCGGTTTTCACCAGGTTTGTGAACTTTTATTAAATTATGACTAAAGATAGCTAACCAGAGACGTTGGACGATCACGCTTAGCGCTGATTTAAATATAGTATGATAATTCTCACTAAAATCTACACTACCCTTAGTGTACCCCAAATTTTATTAATGATGTCGACATAAAGAAAGTGAAGCCCGCTCCACCGCTTATTTCTAATTGACAGTTTTAATTAAACAGTCCGAATCCTTAGTTAAAACTGTTAGGAGTAACAGTCGGTAGCAAGCTTATTACATTACAGAACGTGATTACAAGTAATAATAATGTTTAAAAATATACAAGTCCTTAATTCTTCGTAATAAACAAACGCTTTATTCCATCTAACACGCGTGTAGCATATTTTCTCTTAATTAATTATAACATTTTGGTTAAAGTAAAAAATGACCCAATTTCCCGTATAAATGATAGCGCGTTGTAATCAACAAAAATATATACCAACCACGGGGACGTTTTCGAAACAAACCCGCCGCGCTAGCACCATAAAAATATTAATTACAGCGATAAGTGTACTTAAAACGACTTTAACTTTCATTAAACTACCCTCCGTTTATCGAAAGTTCTTTTTTTTATCGCACCCTTATCGCCAAATGGAATATAACTGCTAAAAACTGCGTTACCATTTTCAGCCAGTTATTTCATGGCTTTCGTTTATTTTTCCTTTGTTCTATATCGTTAATGTTTTGTTTGTTTAACGTGTTAATTGGGATACGGAATTATAGCGTTATATTTTATATCAAAGCCGTGCGCAGGTTTGCCGATGGCCCATTAACACCTGTGTCCCACTCTCGTTTTCTCAGTCCAGTCAGTTAAGGTATGACGTCATGCGGCCATTGGCAAAGCTATGCACAAGTAAATAAATTTAAAAAACAATGACACATGTAATTGGTAAAACATTTTAGTAATTTTAAAGTTTGTTTTGATTTATACTAGTCAATTTGTCTCTATTTTTGTGTGTTCTACATTATGTACTTACCCGCAAGCTCAGAATAACATTGTACATTTATCATTTTTTGTTGTAAGCGAGACATTACATTTTTTATGAGAAAAAGTATGTTTGAACCTAACACAATCCAAACTCGTTCAAAGCATTCGCGTATAAAATACTAAAGAAAAAGACAATTAAAATGTTGTAAAAGAACATTGCGGTTATGTTATAAATGATTCATAGTAGAGTTGAATGTTGAATAACTTTTCGTACAAAAACACACACTTCGATGAAACGTTCAACAATAGACAACCAAATATGGATGTAATGTTTATTATAGAGTTTTTTAAACAAAGGTCAATAAAATTACAAATAGATTAGATATGTTATAGCCTCACTAATAAAATAGAAGTGTACACACATTTTAATTGATATTTAATTACTCTTAGAAATGTCGTTAAGCGATTACAATAAGTCGTAATTAAAACTTAAACAAAAAAGGAGACGGATAATATTTGTAATTTCGGAAAATACCACCAGGTACCATCCTCACCATCTCGATGGCTGGCATTCCACAACCGTGCGGTTTTCATGGGCGTCGTTGACCACCTTGGTGTTCACGCCAAACGTTTGCCCCCTTTTTACTATAAAAAAATAAAAATTAAAAAATCTTCACAGGACATAACATTTGGGGTATTTTCAAATATTCACGATGCGTGATTTTGTAACTTCTTTTTTATTATACTAGCTTTCGCCCGCAACTCCAATCCCGTGGGATTAAAAAAAAGGAAAGTGAGTAGTCTATGTGTTCTTCCAGACTATCTACATCTATATCAAATTTCATCGAAATTCAGTCGTTTACGCTACAAACTCTAACGAACATCCATCCATCTAAACTTTGTCATTACTTAAAGTATGATTGTAGAATATCAGTAAGACACCGTAGAATTCTACTCTAGTTTTTTCTAGTCTCTATTTTGTCAAATCGAATTAAAAAGAGATATCAATATTTATTATCAGTGTAACAGCAATGGAACTCTACGTTTACAGTGTTACAATTTCATTTTTTTACCTAAATGTCAGTCGCACCGTTGATGCATTGTTTAAAATAAAATATGCAACCTCTTTCTTGATGTTTTTATTAACAGTAGCATTATAGAAGAAGAAAAAAGTTGACAATCGATGACATCATACCACTGACCTCTAAATGGACAGGCTATAAGCTGTGGCATTCTGTGTCTATTCGATTTTCGCCATTTTGACTCTGATTGTCATCAAACTTATAGCCTCATATAACTAACATCAAAAGGCGCTTTTTAAGTTATAACAATGCAAAAACTATTATTTTCAAACAAAAGACTATCTATTTACATATTCCTTTTAATGTTATAGACTTTTATTACCTTGTAACATAAAAAAAACTGCACTTATAATGTCTATCATTAATAATTGCCCTTCGCATAGCAACTAATAAAGTCACAGTGAAATATTACTATCAGAGTTATAAAACCCCAATTTCTCCACAAATCCGACCCCACGCTATAAAACTTTCAGACGAATACAAACGTAGCTGTATAAATTTTATTTTCCTACCCCCCTGTTCTAAGTCGCCTTTGTTTTGTGTAACGAATAATACAGTTACCTGAACTTAAGACAAAGATTAAAAAAGAAACAGATATTCTACTAGTAATGATTTAGAATATTATACCTTCATCTAGTTTCACGATAAAAATTAAAGTCTCCACGTTTGCTTCTTTACAAAATCATTTCGATATTATCCAATACTAATTTTGGTAATGTATATGCCTAGTTTTTTTTTAATAAAATTCACAATATGCATTTTGAGATGTTAAGTATCACATTTATTTTATTTTGTTTTTGATATTAATGAACCCTCAAATATTTAACTAGTTATATTGTATTTTTAAAATTCAATTATGTTAAGCCTAAGAAAGATAAAACTATTCCTTGTTTAATACCTAATAGCGACTCTGCTAGTTTATCTTTGTCCGTCACCGCAGGGGTGAGTCGCGATTAAACAAATCGATTTGGAAATCATTAAATCGAGCCGAGCCACTCGCCACTTCCTGGCAGACGCACGGCACGCGCTCGATCACCGATAGGTAAGGGACCGTATACATACATTTTCATTGTACCCTATAGATAGTAATGTAAGACAGCTGGAATAGTTCTAATCGTCTATTTAAAACAAAAGTCGATAAAACAAAACACTACAATCTTACAGAGACATCTACTGGCACTAGATAGCTTAGCTAGACACTAACAGACTATTATAACAATTAACAGACAAATATTAGTACAAATTTTGCTTATACTCAGTTTATTCCTAAGTTAAACTTTATACCGCGTTAATTTGTATTACTATAAAAGTCCCAAAAATTAAGAAAAACCATCCTTAAAATTACTTGTATTTTGGACAAGAAGTGTTTTCTGTAAGTACGTTAATTAATTCCTTCAATTTGGTTCTAAAACACCACGTTGCATAGATAGTTAAATTCACCGCAACTCGGTTCAATTATACAATATCGAACCCATTATGGAATCATAAACTAGATCAATACCGGCGCCACCTGGTGCGGAGCTTTCAGACTACACGTTTGGGGTCTGCGAAATAAGTAAAAAGTCATAAACAGAGGGGTGATATAATGGGATTCTCCGCGGTGCTCATTGACCATTAATTTTAAAGCTGAATTTAAAGAATATTAGAGCGGGCGCACACCTTTGATTAAACTATAGCACAACTGTTGTGATTGTCGATTGTTTCGCAGTCAATTCAACTGTTTAGCTGCACAACTAAAAATTCAGAGGTGTGCGCACCTCCATATAAGCTCATAGGTAGGTTTAATTACATGTGTGCGCACGATTGTATATAAAAGCATAACATTAAGTTAAAATAACATAGTCTTACTGCCAATCCTTGTTTACGTACCACAGACTGTACAGAACAACAGACTAACAACTACAAACCACGAAGTCAAACGTTTAAATTATACCAAGTTAGTCTGTGCACTTAATAAATTACAAAAATAACACGAACAAATCAAAACGACTTCCAAAAAACAATAGAATAAAGAAACAAATAATTGTCAAAAACAATGCCTCATCAACAAAACAATGTTTCCTACCATAGCAACAATGTTCGACCCCGGAACGCGGGCTACCAAAAGCAATTACCCAACAAATCATCCTCTGACGTTTATGCCAATGCAATATGTTTGTACCCACATCCTACCAGAACCCCATTTTATCTACGTAAAGCTCACGAAACATTTTTATATCCGCATGATTCATTTACATGACAGCTTTGTAAAACAGGGGGCCAAGTATAGTACCCTGAGGGATCCCTATTGATTATCAATTACTTTTGTACTTGCATCATTTGTTGTCAGCGCGTTATCCGCATTATTTACTCCAGCTTTTGTTACATGACGTGTTTAATTTATCTATCAAACGAATGCAAGGGAATATGTACCTTATACTATAGGATAAAGGTTGTCAATAGCTTCTAAATCCAAAATTAACATGTCTGTCTTCGTTACAGATGATTTTGTAATGATGGAGCACGAATTGATTTCTAGGGTTATCGATGGTTTATTGATTTACGGTTCATTCATGACTTGCTCTTTTTACGCTTTTCGATGATTTTCCCTTGCGGTTATGAACCGTTTAACTCGTTACTTTGATTGATTTAGAAATAATTCTGTTAATTACTTCCTCATTAGTATTGATAAACAAATAGTTTACGTACCGTGCAGTTTTAAAGTTTGTATTATTAAATTCATTTCAGACATGATTTCTATGCCTCCAGCTCGACTATAACTACGACTTCCAGCCTTTCAGGCTGATAGAAATGTATGGAAGAGCAGCACATACATGTGACGACTCTCCATAGGGACAAGTGCAAGTTGATGATGATGATGTATAATTAAATTCCCTTTTTCCTTCTCTTCCAGTCAGACATAGTCCACCAGTCGGTGTACGAGCTGGTGCATTCAGAAGACAGGGAGGAGTTGCAACGGCAATTATTATGGAACTCCTTCTTATCACCGGAATCTAGCAATCTAACCCTTCAAGATGTTCTCAGACCAGAAAGAACTCATCTTCTAGAAAGAAGTTTCACCGTCCGATTTAGATGTTTACTAGACAACACTTCTGGATTCCTGGTACGTATTAAATAGACAATTAATAAAAAGGCCAGTCTAATAGTTATTCAATAAAAAAATCCGTGTCACCGTAAAAATATAGAAATTTGCAACACCATTCTTTATCTAAAACGCGACAAAAAAACATTTCTCTCAAACCAAACTACACTTACATTTCGTAATCAAAATAAATTTGTTTATTATTTATTTAACAGAGGCTCGATATTCGAGGTCGTATTAAAGTTCTCCATGGTCAAAACAAGAAGACCGAAGAGCCTCCACTAGCGCTGTTCGCAATCTGCGCTCCGTTCGGTCCGCCGAGTCTGCTAGAAATACCGCAGAAAGAAGTTATGTTCAAGAGCAAACACAAACTCGATCTATGTCTAGTCTCTATGGACCAAAGGTAAGTATAACTGGTGTGAAATATAGGACAAATTGTTAGCTATTTTGCAACTGAAAATGAGACTTATAAAAAGAACAAAACGTTCTTTAGTAATTTGTTTATGCAATTTTAATTTTAGATTTCTTTTCAATAAATCAATTCCGAATACACAACATATTGTTTGAACTATGTATTTATTACAAAATATTCCCGATATTTTTTTGGGATTAAACGGAGTTGAAAATGGTATAACCATCGATTCTGATTGGGATATAACGGCCTGTGAGCCTCTCATACCAAACAGGATACAACATGAGCGGGTGGAACGGACGAGGCATAATTTTAACTATCAATTATTTTTTTGGTCGAAACCGAATGCTCCGTACAAAATGTATAATTGTCAAACAAGAGAGACGGCGTGGCCAATTCGTTTATTGATACTTTGTGATGTTATGGGTTTTTGATGCTTGAAAACGATCGGCACGGACTGTTACAAGGCTTAAAAGAATTTCAATGTTTAATATTATTTAGACGTAGTTACCACAGGTCGTTTTTATACCATAACTATGGTGTACCGTATTGTATTATGTTTTACCATGTAATATAACGTCCTGTCATAGAAATTTGAAATTTGTCCCACCATGGAGTTCAAACATATGATCTGCTTTCACATATTTTGATGTGAACATCCACATTCGCACAATATATTGAGATATTTCCGACATCGGTGTAAATGCCTGTTATATGAAAATGTAATTTAATTAGGTATTATTTCTTAAGACCAAGACTCTCATCATTAATTAACAAACGAACAAGGACGCCAAGATATGAGTGTAGTGGATTGAGCAGTGCTTAGAATTGTGGAATCCTCTAGACCTCTTCATATAATGTAATTGTATTTTAGGGGCAAGATGTTGCTGGGATACACGGACGCCGAGCTGGCCAACATGGGCGGCTACGACCTCGTACACTACGACGACCTGGCGTACGTGGCGAGCGCACATCAGGAGTGTAAGTGTATCTGCCACCTAAAAACTCTGTTTAAAACGTACTCCGATAATAAATTTACAACATCGTGAACTTATTTCAGTGTTAAAGACTGGTGCGTCGGGGATGATCGCGTACCGTTTCCAGACCAAAGACGGCCAGTGGCAGTGGCTGCAGACGTCTTCCAGACTCGTCTACAAGAACTCTAAACCAGACTTCGTTATTAGCACTCATCGACCACTCATGTGAATAGCAATATATTTATTTCTTAATGATAAGAATGTGTTTGTCTACCATTTCCTCAATTTTCACTATTTACTTTATGATTTCAGGGAGGAAGAAGGAAGAGACCTTCTAGGAAAAAGAACCATGGATTTTAAAGTGAGCTACCTCGATACAGGTCTCACGAGTCTATATTTCTCCGAAACCGAACAGCTGTCGGGATGTGAGTCCACAGTGACCACTCCGCCGCGAGCCGCGAGACGATACAAGACTCAGCTCCGCGACTTCCTCTCGACTTGCAGGAACAAGCGCAGAGTTCCTTCTACTCCCGCTCCTCCTCCGGTTGACTACCTCGCCGCTGACGTCGCCGCAGCGTATACTAACCTCAACGGAGCATACACCGGCCCTTACGGGGAATACCCTCCCGCACCCGCATTGCATTACGCGCCTCCTCCATTAGATGATAGATTTTTAGCAGCAGACAACCTCTTTCATCAATATAAACCTCTCCCCTACCACTATACTCCTTACGCGCCCAATGGCTTCCTAGAACCGGCGCCGCCCGGGTACGAGGTGCCGCCGTACCACAGGCCACCTTCGAGAGAATACACATATGTGGACAGTACCGGTCGGTATATGAGTCCGGTGACTGGTCAGGAGAGGAGGTCTCCCAGCGTGGTGGCGGGGCCCAGCCCGGGCGGGTCCAGCGGGTCAACGGAGCAGGAGAGGCTGCAGCCGCAGCCGGCGGAGATGCCGCGCCAGACGGTGCTGATGTGGGGCGCGGGCGGCACAGCGCAGGAGGTCCCCGTGGAGTACTCCCCGCCGCAGGTTTGGCGCTACCAGTCACATTATCACACCGCTGAAGCGACTCAATGAGTAGATATTATTATTTATGCAATTTAGTATCGATTGATAGACCTACATTTTCTTGTTTCTATTTCAATAACGGATCCTAGAGATGGACGGGGAAGAAAAATAGTTACCATGGTCTTGACGAGCAATAATAAAAAAAAAAACATTTATAATTATAATGTAAACTTAATACAAAAATGAAATTGTTGTAAATGAAATGTAATGAAACGTTCAGTAAAATTTAATTGTATAATTAAAATTTCCCTCGTCAAACTGCCGTCTCAAAGTAGGTCTGGTTAGACTAAAACAGGGTCTTTTCATTATCACGTTTGTAGATATCCTTATGTACATTTATATCGAAAGTATTCAAAATAATTATCGATTTTATAACATAATAGTCCATTTTATAGTTAATTATTATTAAATCACGCGATGCAATCACACACGTATATTAGTAATTTTGTATATAATTCAATTTTTAATGATAATAAAAGCTTGGGCTTTGTGTTACAGTTATCACCGAGTGTTCGCTTTATAATGAAATGAAACGAAGCGTTCCAAATTTAAAAACTTGTTTCATTTATTTTTTTAATGAGTTCATTTACTTTTTTAATGAAATCATATCAACCGTTCAACATTCAATCAAGATTGTAATGAGATTTATTTTCCAAAGGTCAATGAAAAATAAAACAAAATTTATTATTTTTAATTATTTATCGAATTATTAGCGAAATAGATCGCTTCGTTTTATTTTCAGTATTAAATTATAGTTATTTATATTATTAAGAATTTTTCATATATGAAGAGTTTAACATATCAGTACTTCCGTTAAGCATACAAATTAAGTGCGATTGTCTTCATAACTTAATATAAACTCGATGTACATATATTTATAAAAAAATACCAAATCTTTGTTTTTATGGCTATGAATTTTACAATCATTAAAATCTTTCTGACATTTCTATACATTTAATTCAAATTTCACTATGATAGTTATGGGGACAATTGCATAATACATTGCCAAGCCAACGTCTCTGAGCACTTTCTGTACATACACCTCGCGTGCCTTCAACACCTACATATCAAATATTAAAAGTATATTCCATTGACGATATATCCATGTCTGTAATCGTTTGTAAGATATAATATAATGCAATTACTTCTTGTTTCATTATCAATAATTTCAATGGCACTGCAAGTTAATCTTCCAAACCAATTGGATATTTGAATCATTTAACATATTTTTTACGACTTTATAACTTAATCTTAAAGTTAATTACTTAAGTTGGGCGACCGCGAGGGCGCAGAGAAATGTCGCCCAAAACACACGAGTTAAAACAAGCTACTAAAATTTCTTAATAAAAATGCTCTGAAATATGTATTATAAATATTGTTATAATGTTAACGATAATTATGGATTCGTCAATGGATATATTTAACATTAAATAACAGATTTTAACATGATATCCATTGTGCTACAGTGAGGCGGCGTTGGCAGGCAATCCGGAGTGCGGTACTCTCGCCGATTAATTTTAAGCATAGATTTAGACTGTATTGTTAAGAACAATAAAGTTGAAATTCGTTTATCAAATACCATTAGCCCTTGACTCCATTCGGAATAAAAAATCTTAGTAATTAGGCTCTTCCAGACTATGTAACACATCCGTGTTAAATTTGCCGTATATCTTAAACGGCCTTATGGATCTCGCTGAAATTTAACATATCATAGAATATAATCTAGAAGAACACGGGCTAAGTTTTTTAATTCCTGGCAGATAAAGTCTCGGGCGACATCTAGTTAGAATATCTATTATTATTATTTTGGTAAGTTATATTTTTATCCAAAATTCACACATACTGATGCTTTAAAAGTTATAATTGTTTCTGAAACGATTCAAATTTTTGTTACCAGCAATTACCTAACAATAAAACTCTACATTGATTAATTTTATTCTTTATTGTTCTTCGCAATACAGATTTTAAAATTGTCTTCTCACTGTATATTTCTTAAAATTGTATTATTCATACGGGTTATCCGATATTCTACACGTACGTCGTACTTAGAGTCGGTTATTGGTCACTATCCCTTAGTGAAGATTTCTCATACAAGGAAGTGATCATTAACAACGCTGAGTCGCACCTAGAGTCGTTAAGTAACTCTTCTTCCAAACACGAGTAAGTGTATTGACTAAATTGTTTCTGAGGATTTAATAAATTCGTAATAAAAATTTTAAAAACTTCGCCAGATGAAAATAATTGATAAAAAAGGGAATAAAATAGTAACTAAAGGGTCTTTTTTCAATTATTTCTTTAACAGTATGTTTTAAGTATTGATTATATAAAAACATACTAAAAACATATTAAACAATGTTCTTTGTCTACTTCTTCAAAATGGCGACGTAGCTCACATTATTAAACTGCAATTCTTATTATATTACAAAAAACACAATTATTCAAAAAAAATATCCGATTTACTAGTTTGTAATTCGCAAAATTGTGATGTAATTTTCTATCCACGATATTCCTTTTCATAATTATAGATAATAATTAAAAAGTTTGCTCGAATGTAATAATAGTAAATGTAAATAAATAATTAGGGTAGACGCTTTATTACGAATAAATATTCGTATATATAATGAATTATTCATAATTATTTAATTGAACATATAATTAAGATGAAGATATCAATACAACTTCTGTATTTATTTTAGCATAGTGTTATGTAATTAAAAGAAAATCAAATAAATTTTTCAAGCCACTGATTCTATTTTGTTTCATTATTGTTACTACACTACACATAATTCTAACACAAAAGAATTGTAAAAGAAAAATTAAGGAAACCGAGAACTTTCAAACTAATAAACAAAGCTAAAAGAACGAAAAGAATCCTGTTCTTTAAAAAAGCGCCATCTATTGTTACATACATATAACAATTATTGTGTCAACAATTTTATTAAGCTAAAGCGTCAAGTTGAAAAATGTGAACAGAAAATACTTTAACTTTTTACTTTTATATAACTCTAAATAAAATTATTATCATACTAATAACAAAACAGAAACAAACACAAACATATATAACAAAAACTTTATTTAAAAATATATCTGTTAGTGACATCTTACGGCGAATAGCGCTATCACGAGAACGTAAACTTAGACATCATTTCATAAAATCAATCATAGAGGGCGCTGCTTTAAACTTTTATTAAAATGCGTAATGTCCAGTGATCTGTGAATTATCTTCGAACTGAATTATATTATTTTTATGCACTTCTTATCACTCGATGTTTGTAGCAAAATAGTTGTTTGCACAAAGTTATTTTTAAATGTAAAAGTGTGTCGAAACAGTTGAATTACCAACGCCTGTCCAAAACCGTGATTAAGCTGCCATGACTAATTGGAGGCAAAATTTCACTTCTAAAAACACATAACTCGGTAATATTAGAATCACCTACACGGACCAACATCATGGCGTCAAGCAAAGGACGCTTGGTTTGATAATTACTCTCTATACTCGTATGTAGTTCTTTGACTCGATCCATCATTAAGAGTACGATTGCAGCATTTTCTATATCCCTCTTTGTTTAAAATATAGGGGATCAGTTAAAATTGAATGATTTAAATAAAAACACGTCGATTATAAATTGCCATTAGTGAATTATAAAACTTATTTTAAACAAAACGCTAGAAGGAGGGAGTTAAACGTTCTGATCGTTCGATTCAAACCTTGAACCTTAGGTAAGAAGAAAAATAAGAAATATGTAACCTATATATATCTGTAACAAATAATGTTATAATGTTTGTATACAATATTTAAGAGATAGCAGATGAGATTGTTACAGACGAACTGTAAACACAACACAAAAACTACTTGTTTGTATTTATAAATAAACAAACGGTTAATGTGAGAGCAGTATATGCTTCTATGAACACGACATATAATTTAAGAGTTGTATTAACCGCCTCAAATTACTTGAATTTTGCACATTTCAATCGAAGAACCAAGAACAAATGGACAAAGAAGAAATGGTACCCTAGGGATAGTAAAGACAGGACGTCAAATAAAGACACGGGAAGATAACTTACCAAAGAGATGGAGAAGATTAGCTAGGGACAGGGTATTGTAAAAGAATCTAGGGGGGGGGGGGGTATGTCTACGAACAACCTGACAAAACAACTGAAAGCTGAATATTACTTATATTGTTTTAATTTTTTTTACTTTTAAATTTATGTAAAAAAATAGCTTGGAGAATAAAGGCATCTATGTATTTAAACGCTGGCCTAGTGCGGGTTAACTTCACACATATCTTTTCGTAAATTCGTAAATCATGTGCTGGATTTCACAATGTTACTGCCTATAAAATTCGTTTGCTCATCGCGGTAAAATAGTAAAAATAACTAAACATAAAACTATCGGAATTTTTACTTTTGCTATTTGCTATATGCTATTAAGGGTGGCTCCAAAGGTAGAGGAAGACCGAAGAAATTATGGATGGATTGTGTGAAAGAGGACTTGCTTAAGAAGGGAGTGGATTCAGATATGACGGCTGATAGAATTGTATGGACGAGCAGCACTTACAGTGCCGACCCTCCGTAGGGAAAAGGGCAAGATTTTTTTAAAATAATTTATAAGGGTAAGTTGATTATGCTATATGATAAAAAAAAATCCGAATTAATTTCTTAGACGTGTCTGCCAGAATCTGGCTAAAAGCAGACTGGTTAAGATTTTTATTAAATTAATATTTATTAATTGATTTTCTTTATTACAAACAACGTGATAATATTTAGAAAGGTGGTAATATCAACTCTAGATGTCCGGTCACAGTCTATCGGTGGACAGTCATCTGTGGGCCCGCACGCGCACTGCGTCGCCCGCTTTCGCGTCGTTTGTACGTCTGGCTGTACAGATGACAGGATTTTATATATGTGTATACAGATGTTTCTCTAATTTATCAACTTAAGTGTACATGTGCTAAAATGCTGCTCTCCGATGTATTGTGTTACGCCTTTCTGACTGTAAGTATACTTTTTTACTGATATTAAAAAAGGAAATATTTTGTTTTGTATCTAACTCAAAAACTATTTCGATTTCAAAAATTCTTTTACCATTAGAAAGCTAACAACATCTTATTAATTTTATTAATATCACAAATGGGAAAGTTTAGATGGATCTTTGTTATATTTTGCCGCCTACACTACTGAACGGATCTCAATGAGATTTGGCATATAGGGCATAGTCTGGAAGAACATATAGGCTACTTGCTTTTGTTTTTTTTTAAATTCCACGCGTCGCGTCGTGGGTAAAACCTTGAAGGCGATGTTTATTACCAGATTTTTTTTAAATTCCGATCGGATGAAGTCATGAGCTCTAGCTAGTGATATATCTAAGATTCGTATTAAATAATTGAAGGAATGGAAACTACCTATTTAACTACCCTCAGACTGGTTACAGGCAAGAGATGGACGAGTGTATTCCTAAATTTATTGTGTAAATTTTAGGTCTCTTAAGTGTTGTCCACGCAAAATAGGCGCTAGCCATGTAGTAGCGGAAACCGTAGCCCTACGTACATCTCCTAGGTAAATATTTACCTTTTATGAACGTTTAGGTGCCGAGACGACAGGACATAAACCTGTAAGTTCTAAGAATGAATGTGAATGGCTACAAAGGAAGAGGAAGACCGAAGAAAGTATGGATGGATTGTGTGAAAGAGGACATGCTTAAGATAGGAGTGGATTCAGATATGACGGCTGATAGAGATGTATGGAGCAGCATATACTGTGCTGACCCTCCGTAAGGGATAAGGGCAAGTTGATGAACGTTTAGGTGTCATAATATCATAATTTTGCTTTTATCTGTCTAAAAATATTTTAGAATTCTTCGTGTAAAGGGACATAGGTAATACCCATAAAGTTGTTATTAAAGACGCGTTACGGACTTCGATCAACAATACTAAAAATATTGTTTAATATATTAACCTGCGACTTTGTCTACGTAAATAAAAAAAAACTTTATTAGCCGTTTCCAAGATATGTATAACAAATATCCATATTTCCAAACTCTCAATTTTATAATACAGTAAAGTATGATTAGTATGACTGAACTACGATTTGTGTTTGTGAAGGAAATAAAAAGAGGAAGGAAATAAGAAAATGTTATTGAATTTTACAACTAGATGTCGTCTAAGTCTAGGTGGGATTTGAAAAAATAATTTAGTATTTCACTATATTTCCAGACTATATTTTTCCAGGCTACATTCTACTTGTGTGAAACATTGTCTTGTTCTGTTAAATTGTTGTGTCAAACATCCATACATCCATCCCTTAAAAAATTGATTGTATTAAAGAAAATTCGAATAGAACTTTGTCATATTCCTTGTCTATACGCTAAGAATGGCACCTACGTAGACTACCCTAAGTCAAAACTTTTAGATTTACTCCTTTTTGATCGATTTCCCAAAAGAAGGAGGCACTTAATTCGTCTGTATGTATTCGTCTTAACTTTATACATACTTATTTCTATGTAAATATGTTAGTAACGTTATAACAGAAGAATTGTACATTTTTGCTATCTATTTTATGGTCATGTTTAAAGTTTTGTTCTACAAAATTTTTATTTTAAACATAGGACAGTTTACATAGGAACCATAAATTTACAAAACTACATATTATTATAGAAAAATTGTTATTATAAACTGAATACAAATGTAATTAAAAACAATTGGTATTTAAGAAAACAAAAAAAAACATGTAACTGGCTACCGTGGGAAAATTTTCATTTTTATTGTAGAAATATATAAAAATACATCAACTAAACATTTATTATGACTATATATAGACAATGTTTATGTTATCAATGTGAATTATAACATATGTTATTAATTTACTTTTATCTATACAAAATATTATAATAACTGTGAGTATGTTTGTATTTACGCTTGAGACAGAGATATCCTTGGCCCAATCTGAGGGAGAGACATAAACAAGAAATAGAATAGCCTTATAGTCAAAATAATTTGAAAATACAATTATTTATCTACAAATAAAGGCTACAATTTTTTTAGTCAACAGGTCTCCGTTATTCTGAAAAAAAAAATCTTATTTTATATAAGGAAATTTGATTTTTTGAATATCTATTTGCGATAGACGGATTTAAACATTTAAAATGATTACATCAAAATAGTCCAAACTATAGTCTAAAAGCACGCTCACACATTTAACTATAAAATCGCAGAACTGTATAGTCTCGCTATTCCTACGAGCTTATATGGAGGTGCGCACACTACTCTATTTAGCTGTGCATCTAAACAGTAGAATTGGCTGTGAAACAATCGACAATCGCCCAACAGTCCTGCGATAGTTTAGTTAAAAGTGCGCGCCAGTGAGTGGCGCTGCTATCGCAAATCTATCCGATATTATGCAAAATCCTACATAACACATATAAATTAAAACAAAACACAGTCAAGTACCGACAGTAGAACTGAGATTTTGTTTTTTTTTGTGACTGAATTGTTACTGTTTGCCTTGAAGAGGCATTTACAGATTCACCGGGCTTGAGGTGGCCGAGCGCAGATGGCGCTTAGCCTAAACCTCGTTTATAAGTAACTAAGCTCGAGGGCACCCTCAGGAGACTTGGCACTAGCAACGGAGGCCACCGAGCTCTTATATTGCTTTGGTGGACGCAGAGATATTGTCACTTTTTTGCATTATATAGGTGGCGCTAGTGAGCTATTAGCGAGATAAATTTATGCTCCTGGTCTTCTTCTTCTATTCTTCTTAGTCTGTACTTGTAGAGTAGTAGAGTCAAAATGCATGGAATTTATATTTCTATAAGTCAAATTCTTGTTAGCTTTCGTTTCTTATTTACTAGTTTTTTGGTATTTAATTCAACTCGGTATAACTAGAGAGTCTTGTTTTCCAACATTGAATTAAATTCTATTTTTATTTACATATTGGTTGTTAATTGTTTACAGTGACATAGTGGCCTGCATCTTTGCAGCACAATGCATCGCTAACCAATGATAATTGTTATTTATTGTTTATTTTTTCAACAAGACAATATTTATACAAACAAATCGAATAAACAGTGAAGTATAATTTGAGTTTAGTTTACATTAGCTTACGCCCGCGACTCCGTCCGCGTGGTATTAAAAAAAACATTAGTAAGTAGCCTATGTCGTCTTTCAGACTATACTTTATATCTATACCAAATTTTATCGAAATCCGTTCAGTCGTTTAGGCTACAAACTCTAACAAACATCCATCTAAACTTTCGCATTTATAATATTAGTGTGAAGTGTGATTAGTGTTAGGAGCAGACAAATGACTACCGTTTTGTATTGCCAAGTTTCATGCCACGGAAAAGAAGAATCTATCTGTAGTCGAATTATAACGAAAAATGAAAAAAAATTTTACTGTCATATTAATAAAAATCTACATCATTTTCATTTCAGTGAAAGTTCAAGGAAATTTTAGCGCCTTATCTTAAATATAAATTGCGATTATCGGTGCCATGAAACTATTAAAACTATAACAAAGATCATTATATTATTTTGCTAGCTTCTGCCCGCGACAACTTCTGAGGAGAATTTATAAAACGTTGGTTAGCCTATGTGCTCTTCCAGATTATTTACTACATCTGTGAAAAATTTCATGGAGATCTGTTGTTGCATTCTGGAGATATTTGACATCAAACATCCATCCATCCATACATTCACTTTCGATGTATATGTATTTTGGATGTAAGGTGTTGCGTTTTCCCATTACGAATATTGATTTAGTGACATTTTAGAAAACGAAATTCTTTTAATTCCACGCAATAAAAACCAAAATAGGTTTAATTTAATTATCACAAACATAAAAAAATAACAATTAAAATCAAATAGCTATAAACTTTGTTTTACAATCAAACAACTTTCACTGTTCGTCACAGTTGTAATCTAATATTGTTAGTATAAAATTACAATAAATATTTACGCGCTGATTCACATCTGACATATATGGTTAAAAGAAAGCATTTTTGATTTAAAAACGAAGAATATTTAAAATTAATTAAAGCATTTTATTAGTAACTAGCTGTTCCCGTGCGGCTTCAACCGCATTGTATCATAAAAACTTTATTTTGTTGTTTATATTTGTCAAATTCTTAATTGCAAATGTCAAAATGACATGACATGTGACAAACCATGGCAACACTGCATCCTTGATGTAGGCAGCAACTTAAGGTCTCTTTCCCACATTAGGGTTTTGATCCACAATATTTACCACCTAAGTTTAATAGCGTGAAAATATATATCCTTAAGCGTGACGTAAGTGTAAGGCTTATTATTAAAAAGATAATTATTCAAAAATATGCTGTAATTGCTGACATCTTAGGCAACAAAGAAGTGTGTGTTTACGCTTTAATATAATAGTATAGATTCCCGGATACAGGATGTTTTTTAATTCTACAATTTACGATACTTCGCACTAATATAAATACGAAAGTATAGATGTTTATTACTACTTATTAAAATATTATAGCTTAACAAATATTGCTGAAATTTAGCACAGATGTAGAACATAGTGTGAAAGAACACATAGGCTACTTAAATTTTATTTAAATAAGCGCAGATGGAGTCGCGATCGAAAGCTAGTTAGTAATATTTTAAATTCGTTGTATCATTTTAGAAATAATAATACTATGCAAGTTAAATTATTGTTTTAAAAACTAAACAGTATATCTATAAAGATACATTTTTTGTCTACTGTCTTTACTATTATTATAAAGAGGAAAGATTTGTATTTTTGTATGTAATATAATAACTCAAAAACTACTGGACTGATTTTAATTCTTGCACCAATAAAAAAATATACTGTCACTGAGTAAAAGTCTATATTTTACTACTAAGCAACAGCTATTATTAAATAATTTCACACGTAAGAAGGTCACACGAATAGGTAACAAGAAATTATTGTCACTTAAAAATTACACTTGCTGTTTATAGCCTGTGTTTCTATAGAATAGAATCATAAAGTAGCCACTTGTGACAACGGGGCAAGTTATTTTCCCTGCTATAACAACCGTGAGAAATTACAATAAAATTTATAACACCCTTTATGTGAATATTTATTAAAAAAATTTTTTTGCTAAGAAAATTGTTTTGTCTGTGGAAGTCCACGGTTAAGTTATACCTTTTTCAACACTTTCTTTAAAATTTACACCTATTATTGACGCCTATTAACAATTAAAATGATTGTCCGTTAAATTTTTCTTAACTCGCTTAATGCATTCACCATTTCGTAATATTTATACAATATTTAATAGATATTTGGGCGACGCCAGGGGAGAAAGGAAAGAGAAGGTTATCTATCTAACCTTCTTTACTCTTCACCTTCCTATTTATCATACTTTCATACTAATATTATAAATGCGAAAGTTTAGATGGATGGTTATTTGTTAGAGTTTGTAGCCTAAACGGCTGAACGGATTTCTATGAAATTCGCTATACTTAGATGTAGAGGATATTCTGAAAGAACAAATAGGGTATTTACTTTTTTTTTTTTAACGCGGACAGATCCGCCGGCGAAAGCTAGTAATCTATAGTATTCTTATGGATTCAAATACATTAAATACAGTTCTAGTTGATATGTATGCTTTGATCTTTAAAACTACAGTTTTCTTATAAGATAAAGTGATGCAAGAGGCATGTTTATATGCATAACACACATATATTACAGAAATACTGATAGTTTTAGAGGTTTTAATGTGAGGTAAATACATTTTCATATCAGCATTTGACCCGTGCGAAGTCGTTTATAATATAGTTAGTGTTTGTTTTATAAAATTGATCAACTTTGTCGCCAACAATTGGCATTAAGAATGCATAAACAGGAAGATAAAATGAAACTATGAACGAGAGCCTCACACGATATCAAATTTCTTCATTTCTATGTCGCACGTCAACACAATGTTCAGTCGTGCTCGTGAGACAGATACTCGTAGTTTAAAGTGCCGCGTTGTGGAATGGTCTGCCGGGGGTATTTTTTAATTGCTATTAAGGGTCCTTATCAAGCATATAACCTTCTGAAAGTCATTGTCATAATTCCAACAAAGTTAATTGGAATTATTACAAAGAAATTGTATTCATCATCGCCAGCTCACTATACGTCCCCACTGATGGGCTCGGAGCCTATCCTAAGTCAGGGTGACTAGGCCATAGTCAACCACGCTGGCCCACTGCGGGTTGGTTCACTTCACAAATATCTTTGAATTTCTTTGCCGATACGTACAGGTTGCATCACGATGTTTACCTTCACCGTATGAACTTTGGGTAAATTATGTACATATGAAAATTCGAAAATCACATTAGTACAGCGGGATCCGAACCCAAGGGCTGTAAATTACAAGTGAAGTACTTAAACCACGGGCTCCGACGTTCTTGAAATAAATGAAATATATGAAATTGTATTAAATTAACATAAAATTCTTGATAGTTTAAGAAAAAAATAATTAAAACCCACTATAAAATTCCTACATTCCATAAAAAAAACATCGTCACAGTTTGTTAACAAAACCAACTAGTAGCGAAAGTGTGAGAGTTCTAGATGCGATCAGATTGAAACGGACACTGCTATTATTAATATAATGATATCCAATTAGTTACAGTAACACATCTTTTATGGTAATCATTAAGTTGCCAATATTCTGTTAATGTGACCGATAGATTGTGAATTTGGTCAGTTTAAAAATGTACAAGATATTAATCACACCTTTTATGGCAATCTTTATTAAGTCGTCACTGTATGATTGTGAAATTGGTCAATTTATGAACCTACTAGATAGTAATTTATTGAGAAACTTTTAGTATCGATTTTCGATTTACATAAATTTGGATTAGAAAGATTTCATAGTTGAAGTTCAGTAACAAGCGACTTATGTCCCATAAATTATAACCGCATAAGTCTACGAAAAACAAAAAGATTAAAATTCTCTCACAACGACCTTAATAGATATTTTGTAACTTTCACCATAATCTTGGCTACTTTTCCCTAGCTGTTAAAACGGTTTGTTGTTAAATAACTGGTTATTGCAACCGGTTATTTTAAATAACGTATTTTGTATTGTCTCGTTGTTCACATAGTTATGTTTAGATTTTGCAACGGATGGATTGAAGATATGCGTATTTAGTTTTTTTATGTAACAAATTAAACGGCGGTTTTTTCGGCGGTTTCAGGTGGCCACTTGCTCGTTTGCCACATTATAATATAAAAAAAGAGAATCGAACTATGAACCCTGATTTGATTTGATTCTGACCACTGACCACAAATTACCTTTAGAAAACAGCGTAACAAGATAGTCCTCGTAATTTGATGCAGTTAGGACAAGAAAGTCTACAAATGTATATTTTCATACTAATGTTACATTTGTATATATAGACATATTTCATTTGAAATTATCTCGCATTCTGTAATTTTATCGTTGACTAGCTCTTGCTCGCGACTGCCCGCGTGAAATTAAAAAAGTAAAAACATAGCCTATGTTGCTCAGTGATAACTTCACTTTTTAGTGGTGAAAACATATTTGGAATCGGTTAAATAATTTTTGAGTTATTTCAATACATACAAAAATACAAATTTTTCCTCTTCATAAAATTAATCGTTGATTTAGCAGTCGCTTAGTATAGATTTATTTTAATTAAATAATACTGTGTTAAATGTGAAGGTGTGTAGACTTAAAGCTTTGACAAAATCTATGAAAATAAATATTAATCTAGTAAAAATGAGGCCTATATAACTTAGTGACAATGTAACTTTTTAATCTTAATCTTACTAATATTATAAATATGAAAGTTTGGATGGATGGATGGATGTTTGTTAGAGTTTGTAGCCAAAACTGCTGAATGGATCTCAATAAAATTTGGCATAGATGTAGAGGGTAGTCTGGAAGAACATATAGGCTATTTGGTTTTGTTTTTTATAATACCACGTGGACGGAGTCGCGGGCGAAAGCTAGTAGTGAAATAATTTTCGAAATCTGTGCAGTAGTTTTAGAATTCTATGAATACAAAAATATGAAGCTTTCTTCTTCATATTATGGTATTCACAAACCTAAATGTTTGTTATAAAATTAAGTTTTAACTGTAAATAACATGTATTTTAACCAACTTGTTAAGTATTCCGTGAACTTAGCCCATCGTGATCATTACCATAACCAATGGAGAAAGTTTGCGATGAATTAATGCAAATTATACATAAACGATCAAACTTAGTTAAGTGAAATTAAGTTTAACTTTGAGATTGATATCCAATTCGCATAAATATTAAGATTCCTCGAACTTTACATTATTATACGCAAAACGCTTTCTTATATTATAAATACGAAAGTATAGATGGATGGATATTTGTTAGAGTTTGTAGCCTAAACTGCTGAACCGATCTGGATTAAATTTGTCATAGATGTAGAGGATAGTCCAGAAGAATACATAGAGTACTAATTTTTTTTGTAATTCTACGCAGACAGAGTCGCGGACGAAAGCTAATATGTTATAAGGGTACTAAAACATCGCAAGACAACTCTTACAATTGTATGTTATTCCTTTTCTAGGTCACGATAACCACCAGCTGTACGCAGGCAGACTCCATCAGTCAAGACTACGAACTAAGCGATGAACCACTACGAAAGCATATAGTAAAACGAGACTCGCCTCTCGTCATCGACCACTTTCCCTACCGACCCATTCTCAAACATAGACCCAAATTTATTTATAAAAGAGTCTCAAACCCCAAATACAGAAGTCCTAAACCTGCATATGGAGTGACTCGAACAAAACAACGGTCTGCAAAACCAAGTAGAAAAGTTATGAGGAAATACAGAAAGAGCGTTAACCCAAAATACAGCCCCCCGAGCCATTACAAACGCCCTCCAAAAATTCGTTACGCGAACCCGAGGACGCAAGAATTCAAACCGTTATATGGTTTACTTAAAAGAAGTCCCGATTTCCCATTAACTCCTAAACCGGCAGGATTCGGAGAACCACCAAGCGATTACTACTTTGAAAAGAAAAATAAAATGAATTACGGAGATCCATCAGACGTCTATAGAGGTCAAATAAAAGTCGTACCAGACGGCCCGAAATTCGCTCGGCAAAAGTTTTCAGACTCGATCGATGTCGACGAGCATGATTATCTAGAGCAGAAAGCAAAAAAGAAGGACCCCATTTTCTTTAATGACTTTGACGGTAATTTCGCATCATCCGAGAAACGTCCGGTGAACCAAATAAGGGGTCCTGAATACGATATAAATAAAAATGCGAAAAGAAATTATGGAACAGATTTTCATACGAGTCAAGTAAAAGCTGTGCCAAAAGTTCCAAATCCACCTCGACAGAAGTTATCCGATCCAATTGATTTGGATGAGCCGGATTACTTAGATCATAAATCAAAAATCATTGATACTATTTACTTGAACGATTTCGACGAGAACTTCGGAATGCCTGAGAAAAGTCATCCAAAAGTACGAAGCCCTGATTACCAGGTACCTCTAAGTATTGATGACGACGAGAATATATTTTCTGATGTTTACAATTCTGAGAAAACTTTGAAGATGGATGTATTTAATAAAAGGAAGAAACAGAAGAGAGCTGAGAGATTTAGAGGAAGGAGCAAGCCTGTGAAGGCATCATTGATAAGAGATGAAGCAGACGATGATGTGATAGTCGGTGGGAGGTATGCAGAGCCGCCAGGCAGATATTACGCTAACTACAACTCCCGAGGAATGATGGTTGATGATGATAACTTTGCTCCACCCGGTGCGGTGGACCCAGATGTTGCATCATCAGCGACGATGTCTCCATACGTTAATTATAAACATAGTAACTTAGCATTCAGTCCGCAAAATCTTAATGATGCATTTAGTATAGTTGATTAACATTAAATTAGTTTCAAAATCGGATAATAACTTTAAAACCTAAAAGTAGATATTAAATAATTAAACTGTTAAATTAAAGATTGTTAAGAATTATTTATTAAGGTAGTATATGAGACAAGTATTACAAAAAGGACAGGTGTAAATTAATTTCGCATTTAATTTAGTGTACCTAGATAATCTCCGTCTAATCAAGGTATTTCAGTTTTAGGATCTTTCGTGACTTGAGTTGTACTTATATTTTTACAATGTATGCATAATCGTCCTAAAAATATCTAATCAGATTTCAATATGTTATACATCTTGCATCAATACAAATGTGGTCATGTGTGTTAAAATAAAACACTTAAACAAAATGTTTTTTCGTCTAACTTGAGAAAGCGTATTTTGAAGATTTAAATATTAAGACTGCCTAAATGTAAGCAAATTTCTTTGATAAGTAATTTCATAGTAATTGCAACCCAAGGAATAAAGATGCACATTGTAACTAAACATTAGATTGAATGAAAATACATCTTTTGTAAAAACTTACATTTCTTTCCCTTTATGGCTACCAAAATTACGTGCAATATGAAACTTATAATTTGTATAAATAACCTAGAAACTACTTAGATATGATTAAATATTTGTAAAAAATAAGCTCTTGTTTTATTAGATGCGAGAAACCCTGAAAAATCTTTTGGCCATCATTATAAGGAAATCCGTTTGCAAATTTGCCTCCAAATATGTTAAATATTTGAAGGCAAATTTGACTACTTTGATGCCCTTTTTTCTGCAATTCGTGTTCACTATTGACATCTTAATTGATTTCGAAACCAGAGCCGACGAAGAAATTAAAAAAAAAAGTATTTATAACTATTCCAGTATTAAGGAAGTTGTTTGAAATCAAAACTATTTCACGAATTGTATAATATAATTTAATAAAAGTTATCTAAAAGTTCTTGTCGACGGCACAACCTTGCACCTTCCAACTATCTTCATCTCTAAGCTAACAGCACAAATGTTTTAATTTATTATTACATTTTAAAGGATTCAACTCTGAATTAAATAAATAAAACTTCAAATTTACAATAACATCTAGAACTATAATATCAGAAGCTTAAACAAATTTTATCAAAAGCTTACAAGAACTTCACGTCTTAACATACAACACTAGAAAACTATAGTAAACCAAGTTATTACAAAAAGCCAATTGATGTATCTTGTTCACTCTACCCCAATGTATATATTACATAATTTCGGTAAGACTTTTCAACAGATTGAATCACTGGATTGAAGGACATTTGTTTCCGAACAAACGATAGCAAAACACAAAGTTCCCAATACATACCAAAATACTTCATTCCAATTGTAAATATCACGATTTTATCATCGACCGCGCTTGTTTTTTCTTTGTACTCTCGTACGTTGACTGATGGCGCGTTTCTTCTTCCTAGCATTACCGCAGGCGGCCCGGGCCGCTTCACAAGCGCAGTGCGCAGCCTGCTTAGTGGCCGAGCATTCTGCGCAGGCGCATTGTAGCTTATGCTGCAGGTGGGCCAGTCTCGCCCTCGCCTCTGACAAGTTGTGGCATTTCTCCTGCAGACCGAATTTGGTCTTCTCCAACACGTTGTGGGCTGACTTCTCTAGCTGTGCGGCGAGCTGCGTCGCCTGGCACATTAACTTGTGCTGTCAAGTGAAAAATATTGAAGAAAATAAAGCTGAACATTTCCAAATTTTTGTTATTAATTACCATCAACCAATAATTTTGGAACAAAGGCTGCCAAAGTGTTTAAAGTTTCTATGCAGCAAAGTGAGGTTAAATAATGGCTATGATTCATAAATGTCATATAATAGTGGAAGTGTATATCAGTAGAGGTAGGCCTAGAAAGAGATGTATGGATTTCGTGAAAGGTGACATGATCAAGAATAAGGTAACGACAGTGATTACGAAAGATAGATTACCTGGAGAAAACCCGGAGCGCCGACTCTACAAGAGTAAGATACGGACGGGGACATGTTTATGATGATTTATGAATCTCTTACTTGAGCTGTGGCTTGCTGCGCAGCTTGCACGGCCGCATTGACGGTGCCCTGCTGCTGGTGCACGGCGGCCGTGTTCTCCGCCACTACGGCCTCGGCTTCCTTCACTTCCTGCTGCAGCTGTTCAACCACCGCCTGCTTCCCGGCGAGTGCCGCCTCAGCCGCTTTCGCAGCTTGCAGCGCTTTCTCCGCCAGTTGCGTTTTGACCTGGAAACAAATTTATATTTCGTTATAAGCTTCACTTAAATTTACCAAGTCTTTATATCTTCTACAAGAGCCAAATGTTAAAAAGTTGTCTACAACAAGTTAACTGCTACGATAATTGGGTCTTGGTTAGTTTCATTGTAACAAAGTTTGGCATTAAACTCCTATCGAGATTCATTCGACTGTATCTCTAAATACTAGGATGTAGATTTTCCTCCCTGCTTACAAAATGTATTCGAAGTCGCCGTCAACCTAAAGGAAAATTAGACATAAAACGCGTTGAATCTTCATAAAATAAAATTGACACTGACATTAAGTTGCCACTGTACAGTGATAATTTTTGGCAATATAATTGTGGAGAAATAAATCAGGAGGAAAGGAGAAATTAAGATTCAGATCCACGAGCCTGGGATATTGGTAAATATTAATACATGTTGAATCTCACTGGTAGAATCTTCATCTTGTATTTCCAAACTGCAAGTTAATGATTCTTTGAAGGATGTCTACTTGTTGCTTTAGTCTTAGTAAATTGTGATTACTCACCATGTGAGCGGCCTGAGCACCGGCAGCATTTTGCGCCGCCTGTGCCGCCTTGGCTTCGGCGGCCGCTTTCTGTGCTATACTAGTTGCACATTTCCCTTTGCAATCCCGAGGCGTTTCCCGCACTTTGTTCTTTCTTTCTTCGTGTGGTTGTTTAATCAAATTTTCGTTCTGTGCCGCTCTCCTCTCCGGGAAACCCCAGACTGACACTAACGTCAGGAGGAATATCACTAATAGTCTCATTTAAATGATTTACTATCCTAGTACACTTATACGGCAACGATAAATTGCCCCTAATTTACTATTTTTCTACATAGGTATTTAATGGTTTTTTTTGTATCTGAAGAGAAAATATAATTCGTTTTATTTAGCAAAATAAACAAATCACTATCTAATGGTTTGACAGCTTGAAGTTGACTTATTTATATTCTTAATTGAAATAAAATACATCTATCAGAGTTCAAAGAGTTTTTATAACATTATTGAAATACAAACATTCAAAACATGCTTTATGTTACTTTGCATGTATTGCGGTCTTCAATGTATTACTTGACTATTTGAGAGATATGGCTTGTTCGACACTACATACAGTTTGGCAAAAAAATTCAAACAAAAAAAGACATTCTCATGAAGTAAATTGAATACACAAAATAGCCAGAGTACGTTTTAAAATAAGACTATTTGCTAATGTGAATAAATCAGCAGCATTAAGTGAACTGAATACTCCTACCAAAAACGTAAAGGTGACGTTTGGTTAGAAAACTCTTGCGAAACATTTCTGTCAGATTTATCATTTAACCTTTTTGCTTCCTTAGATAATTCTGTACACAAAGAAAGAAATTCATTCAAATTAGACACCCCAAGAACTGTCATAATGGATTGTCTGTAAAGAGAAATTGTAAAATCGTTAAATTTTTGGTTTTCATCAAATTATGTGTTCTGTGTTATTGTAACACATACTGTCGAGAAGTACTGCATTGTTTCGACTTCCCTATGTATTATTGGATGATCTACATCTAAGTGTTAAGGTCTGTATGATACAATTTATTTATTCCTTATTTAGCTTGTGATGACAATTTCATAGACGTTACTTTAATCTGTATGTACATTGAAATCTGTTTGATACATTGTAAATGCCTATTGTAGATAATGTTGGTTTAGAAGATAACAGCTTCTTATTTCATGGTGCATATCAAGTATAGTTATGGCAGAACAATCTTTACCATAAGAGTAATAAAATGAAATAGTTTTAAAAAGGCATGCAAGAATACAGTGCAACACATTTAAATACTGGCACAATTAAGATATAGACTAATCGAAATTCATAAAGAAAAGAACAACAAATCTTTCCAGCATATATTTTCTTTAACTTATACTTCAGAATTGTACTTTTTTTTAAAATAAATGTATGATTTTCTTTCCAGAAATCATCATTTGAGAGGAAGTGATTTAAAATCAACCAAGGTGGCTTGACGCGGTCCCGGGCGTTGTCGAAACATGATTTGCATTTCCTTGTACGCCCTGATCGCCTCAGCCACGATCCTCGCGTGCGTCCCCGTCTGCTACCGACAGTTTGAGATGAACAAGTTCATCAAGTGCTTGAAGAAGTAGATGTTTCCCGTCATGATAATTTGTGTCTCGTGTATGACCGCCATGATTGCCGTTGGCTGCATATCCTGCGTCCCAATTATCTTGGACACCTACTGGCCCGGGAAGAAGTGCAGAAAAGCGGAATCCTGTAGAAATCCTTCATGTCCAAAGAAATCTAGGTCTAATTGATGTTGTACATACTTGTCTTGAGTGACAATTAAATTTTTTTTGGAAGCGTTTTCTCATGTATACCATTGGTGTTTGTTTTTTTTATTAGTTTTTTAATGTTTGTTATTAATTAACGTGACAGAGACCAGCGAAAACAACAACTGTTTTACTTATTAGATACCACGACCACACAGAAGATAGAGAGTAGTAGCATAGAAGAGAGCAAAAGAAAGGTTGCTTAGTTACAATCATGATCGCTCGTTAACGTAATCAGCTCCCATCTAGTGTTATGGTGAACAAAAGTAGATTTAACTTAACTCTATTGATGTTGTGATGATTAGTGGAATAGTTAGAAAAAAAATTAAAATACTTCCAAGGTCTCAAAGGCAGAAAAACGCATTTTAATATAGTTCCGCAAGGCTAGTGTTAACTGTACAGTTTTAATTAACAGTTAAAATATTATCTATACGTTTAGACTGTTAAGTTAAAATTGAACGTTCATTACCAAGATTATAGCGCCTGACCATTTTATCGTCGCAACATGTAATAAATTACACTTTTAAATCACATTGCAATTTAAAATTTCTAGGTGATGTGAATAATCTCATATTTTACGAAATAAAAGTTTTTTGCACGATTTTCAAAATGACTTCGTGGGATTATCTTTCTACCGCTTACATTTGTGTTAAAGTTAATAATGAAGTTATTTCTTGAAGGTTTACATAGCAATTTGTCTTGCTTCAAAGGTAGCCGAAATGTAGAACGTAGCCGGGAAAAACACGTAGGTTGCTTACATTTTTTTTATTCCGCTCGGACTAAACGGCAAACTCTAGCCTTTTATAAATTATAATAGTATTTCATTGTTACAATGTTTTACAAAAGCAGTACTCGTATACTGAGATTGCCAGGTTGCAGATTGATAGGAACAAAAAAGTAATTTAAAATTTGAAAGCCCTATAATATTGAAAAAGTATTATTCTGTCATCTGTCATACGGAAGGAAAATTTATCAAGCATCATGAGAGCGAAATTATTGTGCAATGTTGTTAAGATAGTGTTGATAACGCTAGGGCTATTTCGAGTTTGATAGCCTGGTCGGAGAAGGCGGGGCGCTTTACGTGCGGTGGATAAAACAGAATTAAACGTAAATACTAAATTACTTGTTTGTTTTGACAACGTATTTTATTTAATAGATAGTATAGAAACAATAATTTGCGTAGAAAGGACGGAAAATGTTTTATTAATACATGATATTTGATATAGAATACGTTTTAATTATTGTTTCAGATATCTGACTGACAAGAGAAACATTTATAACAAGTAGCCAAACATCTCTGTATATACAATTTTTATAATTTTAATAGTTATTGGAATGGCATTATCTTCATTTCTAACAGCAGTTTTTCTTTTGTTCGTTCTTCCCGCGTTAGTTGAGAAAGCATATAAAGTTGCCAATACATAATTCTTTTTAATTTTTTAACTAGTAAGTATGATATAAGTAGTTTAATCAAAGTGATTTTAAAAATAAAAAGAGGAGGCATAGTTGCCAGTTCACTAATTCCACATAATCTCGCTAACGCTAACCTTAGAACTACACTTAAATATAAATAATTATGTTTAAAAACATTTACACAATATTTAGTTTATTTTGCAACAAAAATTGATGATCCAAGAGGAGGCGTAAAACATCTCAAAGAAAGTACTGGTGAAAATTCTTTATTCAATATGCCACGTCTATATATTTTTTAAATGTCTGTTTTTGATTCATTTTTCCTGAAGTCACGTGTGCCCATTGTTACAGACCGTACGGGAGAAGGCCCCGTGTCCAATGTTCGTATGATTTGCATATCGTTATTGAGTATTATTACTGCTACTGCCATACTGTTTTGCGTACCACTCTGTACCCGTGGGATACTGGAAACGCGTTGCTGCTGCCCCAATCACCCAACTTGCCCAGACTGCGGACTTAACTACTGATCCTACATTCCATAAGTGACTTATTTGGTACATTTTTTATTTAGTTTTCAATATGGCTTGTTTAACACTTTACACTGCAATAGTAGCTTTAGGGCTTGTTGTATGTTGTCCCTTAATTTGTGGCAAATTTACAAAATCTTGCAGTCATTCTTGCAAACGTTAAATTTGTTAATATTATTATTTAGGAGCTGTCCCACCAAATTATAAATTGTCTGATAACAATCCAATGTGTAAAATATGTGATGGAAATGTAGGATTTTGATACCTTATCTGTCAGTGACGTCATTTTAAGCTATCTGAACATCTATCAGTGGTGGGACAGGCCCTGTCTTCTAAATGACCTGATTTGTAAAATTTTCATATTCGCATCAGTGATTACAATTTTTATAGTCAATTCATAATTTATTTTTAAATCAATGTTTGTCAACCTATTTTGTATTTGCCTACACGAATGTATTATCCACTTTTTAATATTTTAATATCTTAGCAAAATTTAACAAAATTTTGCATCTGGCAAAGTGTCAGCTTTAACCATGGGCGTCGCCAGGGAGAGACAAGGGCATCTGTATCTCCCTATACTCTGTTCCTGGAGTATAGATATAAAAATTTATGAATAACACCATATTATTAAAAGCTGCATACATTGACATCGAATAGCGATTAATACGTCACGGGTAAGACAGGGTGGCATAAAGTCGCCAAAAAAAATAGCGATGCCCTTGACTTCTACCAGCATGATATCAATAATATTGAAATTTTCCAGAATCATTTGAAGAATTTTGCACTATTTTCAGATAGTTCCCGCGTCGATAGTTTAACGAAGGCAGTGCGTGTAGAACTAGATCATGATTTGTATGAGTGTGCTGACGGCGGTCACGGCGGCCGGCCTCATCGTCCTCGGTCCCTTGATTTGTGAAAAATTCTTCAAATGTATCTGTACCAAGTCGACGAGACGATGATTTATTAAATTATTCCATCGAATGAATGTGTTTCAATTGAATTGAACCAAAGCCGTTTGCTAATATCGTTTAATTTGATGGTGATATCTTAACACAAGAACTTTTATGCAAGACCGTAGGAAAATTTAAATCGATCTGAACAGCGATATTAAAATACATTTTTTTTAAATACCATAAATTTAGACGGGCAGTAAATTGAACATAGATTAAGGAAAAAAATAGTATTTTGGGTAAGGAAGAAAATACCGTGAAATAAGATGTATAATTGCATCATCATGCATTTAACGGTTAACCAATCTTCTTGAGTAGTAAAATCTATCTATGGTGTTTACTTCTAATAACCAAAGAAAAAAAAAGACGACCATTAAGTAAAGACATAAATGGAGATACTAACGAAATCTAACTAATATTATAAATTTGAAAGTTTAGATGGATGGATGGATGGATGGATAGATGGATGGTTAGAGTTTGTAGCCTAAACAGCTGAACGGATTTCAGTGAAATTTGGTACAGATGGAGACGATAGTCTGGAAGAACACATAGGCTACTCACTTTTGTTTTTTTTTAATTCCACGCGGACGGAGTCGCGGGCGAAAGCTAGTAAGAAATAAAACAAATAACTTAGGAAACAAGTTTTATTCTAAATAACTAAAGCATACACCGTAATATCACTTGACTGAACCTCGACTCCTCAACTAGACTAAAGTAATTGAGCAAATACGTAACAACAGTACATTTGCCTAAGCTTACGTATCTGAGTAATAAATAAATTAACAAGAGGTTTATGACACTTAACTATTGACTACACTAATTTGGACTACGTTCCTCGGTCTGGACTTAGAAACTCGCCGGTTTTGTCTGAAACGACTGTGTTTCGTCTTTGATTACTGCTTCCTAAAACTGCTTCATCTAATTTAGCTATGGCGGCAGTTGTACTTGGATTTTGTCCTACAAGTTGTGCACTTGTTGTTGGTTTTACGATTTGAACTTTTTTGTCGTTAATTATTTCAAATTCTCGTTCATCTTTATAACTTTCAGCGCTAGATCTATAAAATCTTTTAATAGGAGATTTACTTTCGGATTCGTTTACTATAGTTTGGTCTATTTGATCAGTTAGTTTCTCCTGTTTGACTTGTGTGAAATTTTCCATCGGTTGAATCTCTTTCTTCATTATTTCTACTAACGATGACGTAAATGTTGTCAATTCTAATGGTTTAAAGGTCGTGGTTGTTGTTGTTTCTTGTGTTGTTGGTGAATATCTTAAAGTCATACGTCTTCTGTATTTTCTTTCTGAACTTTCAGCTGAAGTCTTTGGACTATTCTCTGTTAACATGAAACCAGATGGTTTAGTAAAGTTCATATTTGCATTGACTGTTATTAGTTTAAAATCATCGGTTGTTTCTTGACTCTTCGTCTCGTTTCGTCTTGCGTTTCTTCTTTCAGTAGAATTGGTAAATTGTCGAGTACCGCGGTACACCGGTGCGCTTGTTTCTGAGTATTGTGTTCTGTGATTATTTCTTTCGTCAATAATAACTGGCTGTGGTGTCACTATTTGTATACTTTCATCAACATTACTCTGAGCTGCCTTGGTGTCTTGGTTTTCTAGTATTGTTATAGCCTCTTTAATACCGTCCACATCTTCTGGATTCATTGAATTGCCTGAAATATGAAAAAAATACATGTATTTGTCAAAATTAACTGCAAGTAATTACTTCAAATTAGACTGAAAAATAACTTTACCATCTTGCATCTCTTTCTTGTAAGAGGAGAAGAATGTAAGCGCTTTCATGAGCTGGTAGCTCTTGGAGACAGGAATGTTGGTGTCGTAGAGTCGCGCGGTGTTCTTACAGTCCACGTAGAACCACCAGTTGCATTTAAGGATCGTTTGGTCGAAGAGAGTGGACTCCGGACAGAGGAAAGACTTCATTACCAGACCGTCGTCGGTTAAAGCGCATACATGGAATACCTGGAAACAAATTCGGTTGCTTGAGACAAATATGAAATAAATAAATTATAAGCATATTAGTTTTAAAGATACGAAAACCCAACATCTAAATTATTAATCTCTGTATATTTTTTATAACTTACCATACAACCGAGACTCTCATCTCCATAAAGTCCGGGGAAGTACTTTTGGTCTCCGCAGTGGAAGTTGGTCTCCGGCAGGTCTACCTTGGATTGGAAATGGTCGTCGAAGTTCTTTTCGTAGCCGACTGGATAATACTCCCGCGGGGCGTTCATCACCTTACCCGTTGTTGGGTTTCTGTTTTCAGAAAATTATTATTTTTAACTAAAAATAGACTTTAATATCGAAACATTGAATTAAACTATATACCTCTTTGGTTTCTGCTGCACGGACGCAACTACAATTTCCGGTTCCGGTTGTGTTTGGAATACCGGCAGTTCTTCGGTCGTGGTGGTTGAAGTAGACGGCGTCGTTGGGATCGGTATGTTAGCGTACTTGTTCAGTAATTGCTGCTGCCTTAAAGCAATCGCCGCTTCAACCGCCTCCATTGAAATATTTCCCGCTTTCGCTATCTCGGCTATCTTCTCATTTATATCTTCTTTACTGAACTTCAGCGCTGTATCATCTCCATAACCTGATATCGTGTTGTAGTCATCCACTTTCTTCGTATTAGTATATTGGCTCGCATCTTGTATGTGGGGGTCTACAAAGTTAGAAAAAGGATTGATGGTTTTGCGGAAAGAATTTGAGTTAGTGTCAGACGGATATGGTGAGTTATGAAAGCCTGGTGCGGGTACGACTGATATCGCTTGTGTGGGTGGAGCCGCTACTGGCATGGGCACGAACGGGTTGACTGGAGTGGGTACGGTGTAGATGCGTGTGTTAATGATTGGGGTTGGAGTGATGCTTGATGGGAACGGCTGTCCGTATTGTATTGCTGTCATGTGTGACACCATTTTTGATAAGTTGTCTTGTGATGAATGTGTGTTCTCACTTTGATAGGCGAGTCCGGGACCTTTCGACTGCGGAGCGAGCGGCGAATATGCTTGAGTTGATGCTATTGGTAGAACCTTTAGCGTATCTTCTTTGGGCGGCAATGGTCTGAATGGCGGAACTCCCATCGGCATAGGCTTGGCGAGTGTGATCGTGGGCTTCGCCATAGTCATAGTATTGGGCGAGGCTATGGTGGGTACAATGATTGGCTGCATGGTGCTGGAAACGCGGCGGTGGAGACTGGATAGCTTGTCCATTGCGGCCTGGTTCGGACGGGCCGCCGAGGATACTGGTCTCATCATGATCCTGTTTTGTTTGCCACGTTTCTGAAATTTACAGTAAACAATAAGATGAATAAATAACATTTTTTGTTTAACGTATTTTTATTTGATTTTTATAAAATACTTATTTAGTGTTTATTTAAATTAGACAAAATTATTATTACCTCTTGCTTAGCAGGGGTCCTACTTGATGCATCGACAAGGACGTTGGGCGCGCCATTCTTGAAGCTTACTGATCTCCTTCTGCTTGGGTCCAAATTTGTTAGCGACTGCTCAAAACCCAGCTCGTCTCCTAAACTAAACCCTGAAACAACAACATAACAAATCATTTAACTTTTATTAAACATTGCTGATTATCCATAAAGCGCTACAAATTATCTAACCTACTTATCTAGCATATTTAGATAATTACTCCAATCTAGTTCTGTAATTACACGAAGATTTTAATCAAATTCATGTGTCTTTTTAACACTATCAGTTAAGTCGTCCTTCATAGATTTTTCGTAAATAAAATAGGATGTAACACATCGTTGAGTAATTAAAAAAACATTAAACCACCAACATACGGAACACTTTCAAATAATCTATAATGTTTTGTTTTTCGAGCAAATGAGTTAAAACTGGTCGAGTATAGCGGAAACAGTCACGATTTATTAATACCAAATTATAACACGTATTGCACAAACAAGGGGATTGAGTTATAATATAGGAAATGGTCAATAATCAGTCGAGGTCACATATAAAACGTCAATGCTTAATTACGTTACGTATGAAGGCTACGTGCTAGGAATCAAACCTTGACATGGGCCAAAGATACTATCGTAAACCAAATTAAAAAGTTCTAATTCTAAAAATTCACTTGACCAGGCCCAGATCCACCGGCGACTGTAGTACCTCAGATGATGATGATGATTATGATGATGATGGTGTGAAAAGGCTATTCTACTAGCTACAAATCATTCATTTATGTGATGGTATGAGTACTATAACGGCTCTATATAATCATCAATGTGCACAATAAAGCAGCGATCAGAGATTGGCGATAGCTTATGAAGCGTAGCTGTCACAAGATGACCACGACCAGCCTAGATTGATTGACAGTAAAAATAAAATATTCAAAATGTTTAATTTAACTACTCTTTTCTAAGAATGAAGTTTCTGACATTAATACATAAGACAGTCTATTGTCTGCTTCATAAGAGTTACCTTTCTTTAAGTGTTTTTAATTGTTAAAACTAAGCTTACGATAATCGCATACCGTATTCGAAGTATGATCAGATATGTTTAACTATAAGGATTCTTCCTCATCAGGAATCCTTCCTCACATTTGATAAAAGTTTTAAAGACTGATTGCAGATAATAAAATAACAAAAAAAAAACTATAAGGATTTCGGCACTTAAAAGTTGAAACAAACATTATATTTAACTTACCTAGACTGGCGTGCGCTTTAATACCCCCTAAGTTCCGCACCCTGAAGAGACCTGATTTCTTGAAGGCGCAGTTGATTTTGAAACCGAAGTCTGACTCCAACACGCAGAGTGGATGCGTGACATCTGAGAAAAAAAAAAACAGATCTTAGAACAAGTAATAGACGTAACATAATGATTTACACTACAAGAATATACATTTACATTTCACATATACATTTTCATGTCGATTTTTTACTTAAGATTTCTATGAAACATATTCATGTGTACCAGTAGTAAAAAGTGAAAAGATTTGTATTTTTATATTTTTGGATTTTTGTATGTATTTGATAGACGTAAAAACTACTGAGTCGATTTTAAATTCTTTCTTCTTCTTTCACAATTAAAAAGCTACGTTATCAGTGAGTAACATAGGCTATCTTTATTTTTATTTAATGCACAGTAAGTCGCGAGCAACAACAAGTATGCGATAAAACAGTAGTCATTCGAAAACTAGTTCTTCATTAGTGAATCAAAGGAAGCGGAACTTTCGCGATGCCTAATTAATTCTCATCCGTAAGTCATTATTGCTCCATCGCCTCCATCCAGGATATTGTTTGAACGGCCTAGATTTCTCCTCGTCCTACGCTGTTTTGCTACTAACTTTTACGTAGCGTAGTAAGTTTTAAAACGATGATTACGGACTAGAAAACATATAACCATAGACAGTCATCTAATGTCAAAGAATAAGTTTGTTTTCTTGTCCATTTTCTCAACTACTACTAATAGAACCCTAGTAACTGTTTATTTAGAATATTAGAATTTAAATATTTGAACATTTTAATATAACGAATTTAATTTAGTTAACCGTAGGGTTAACAAAACAAAATAAACTCATATAAAGTGTTAACACTTGTTATTTTTTAACATCGACAAATCCTAGCGTTTTTTACCGTTTGAGGAAAAACATTTAATGAACACATTCATTCAGTCTTTGTAGAACTCCGCCCACTTTCACTGGTCACTGACCCAGGCTACTGGACTCACATGACTCACAACAGGGTAACCGGATGTCGGAGAAAGGAGTGTGTACAGATAGCAAAAACACATTTAACAAAGTATTTTTAAAAATCAAATATAGAAAATATCGTGTATTAAGATAGTTAAACAATAAATTGTTTATTATCTTATGAATACTATAAACTATTATAGTGAAAATAATCTTCAGGCCATAAAAAATAAATTCCCGCCAACAAAGTTGAGTCTACCCTTAATTAAGGATGACAAAACTTTAGTTATATGTTTCGTAAAGTTCCATTTAGGTGTTCTGATTTATGCAACTAAATTTAATAAAACAAATAGATAAATAATTTAGTTTTTTTGTTAACCTTACTACAACGTTGCACTACATGATGTAATTTTAAGTGGTTCATCTTATAACGTCACTGAAACATATCCGGTCACATTTAGCGCGGATTTTGTAATATAAATTAAGTGTTGATTGAATAACGTACTATCAGCCTTGAGGTAAACACATTATTGAAAGCAAGCTATTCGACTGATCAATGACATGTTCGCCGCTCTTTTTCATTGCCGAAATATTAAAAAAAAACATATACCCATTTATTTCTTCTTGGTCTTTTTATTATTTAAAATAGGATAAACAGAATTACCCACAGTCTCCCTTTTTTTGCCGAAGGAGAATGCGTTACGCATACTCCGTGCCTCGGGGCTGACACGAGAGTTATGTGGGACTCTCCCCCCATAGTGGGGGGCATAACCTAACTAAACCCCTCCGTTCCCTCCTGGCTATTGTGTGGGGCGCCACAGAATCGCTTTCGCTTGCCACCGCGACGATCCACAGTCTCCCTCTCTTAAGTAGCCGCGGTCCAATATACGTTACTCTTCTACGCAAATCTATCAGTCGTAATATAAACACCTCACCAATATGTTCTTTCGTACAACCTATACATTTACTCTTCGATCTTCCTCATCATTGCCAGGTAATTCTAGTTACTTGCTTGTTTCTCTGATCATTTTTTCCCTTATATCACGCTAACCCTTAGCTTCTCGATATCTCCGTCAATGGCGCTATTTTTAAAATACCTCTAATTTTAAACTTTAAATAAAATAACAATCTATTTTTTTTTAAATCTTTTCTACAAATGAAAGTTATGGTAACATTTAAATTAAATGTCTTCAAATTGGTACAGCTGTTTAATGTTCAAGTTTTCACAAACACACCGTAAATGTTTGACGCCTTACATTGTTAATAAGGTCAAACATAACCTTATCATTACTCTATTGAAGTCTTTTATCGAGTGCTGTTGTTTCCATAAGAAAGTTGTGAACAATCAAACAGATAACATCTATAAAATACCACATCCGATGAGATCCGTAACGTACACATTATCTCATGTTAACTGCCGTAAATAACCGTAAGTAATCGTAAATAACCGTAAAATTGTTCCGACGCAACAGTTTAACCGCTGTTCTGTGCTTTATCCATTATGTATTGTGCGCAATGAAGATGCACAAAACGACCCATCTCACATTGTTTCAAAGATCTCATAAGACGTACTTTTATTTTTGGATTGGTCGAAAAATTGTTGACTGTCTTCCTAGCTGGCTTTATCAAGGGACTTGTATGCGTTTATAGGTATGACAGTCATTTTGCTTTAGTTTTATTTTACAGGCTTAACTGTGTTTTTTAGAGTAAGTAGTGATTAAGACACTTAGTGTAGATTTAGTTTGAGATATGTAACCTCCAAGCTGAGGCTCAGTGTTCAAGCAGATAAAGCCATTTCCAGTTTGCCGGCTACGTTTTATCAGTTACTTATTCGTATTTCAAAAATATATAGGTTAGTACGAAAATTTTCGATAAAGTATTCGTATCGACATTGATAAATTTTGTAGAAGATTTGTGCAGCGCCCCTAGCGGGCGTAAAATACACCAATAAATCACATACAATTTTTATCAATGATGTTATGAATACTTTCTCATAAATTCTTGGTATTTCCCCTGATTTATAACCTATTCAAATATACTAAATTATAGATCAAATAAATAGTTAACACTTATAGTCAGCTGTTTAACGTCGTTGATACGACAAAGGCTTACATCTTTTACCGGTTTAAAGCCTGGTTGAAACTCATCAAAACATATCGTCAACAAAGCAGTGAGACTAAACCGGTCCTGTTAAATGATCAAAACTTTAGTTATATGGATATAACAGCTAAATGATGGACCGTGGCAAGGAATTTCACTTTCGTTTTGACTGTGAAAGTGCGTGCAGGTGGCATGTAGGCAACGGACGCGTCTTACGTCAACTTTACAAATTAGCGGACGAAAGTCAAGACAATAAATAATGAATGAAAACAAACAAGAGAGCACTTATGTTACTCCCGTATTTAATGGTCAATTTAGTGGAGATTTAGTAAGAGATATACTAAGGACTTAAAAGACTAAAAAACTATTAGCTAATCGAACAGTTTTTCTTAAATGATTACTACAACCTGTAGATAGTAGTAGGAAGATAAAAAAATAAAAAATAAATAAATAAAAATAGTTTATTAATTTCCCCTTGGACAGGGGACTGGTGTCCAAACTAGGGTGATCCCTGTGTCCATTACACATCACCAGGCCCCCACCCCACAGACCAAAGTGAATCTTACAAACAAACTTAAAAACAAACAGATATTTATTACTTAGTAAAAATAAAGAAGAAAAAATAAAGGAACAGAACATAGGTAAAATTGTTAAATCAATTAAATTAACTTTAAGAGAACTCTAAAAAGAAAAAAAGCCTTGTAGTATTATTTTAAGAGCGGGCGCACGCCTGTGACCAAACTAACGCTCAACTGTTCTGCGTTTGTCGATTGTTTAGGCACAAAAATCTAATAGTGTGCGCAACTCAATATCACAGGAATCAAAGCGGGACTAAACAGTTGTGCGATAGTTTAGTTTCAAGTGTACGCTCGCTCTAACTAATAACCGCGAGAATAACTTTTAATTAAACTCACACGTTCTTCCACAACGGGATGTCAACTTTCTTGTTAGTAAAAAGTTACAACTGATTACAAATTGATGTTAGGTGTCCAGTAATCAGTGCTTTAATGAGAATGACCTTTACCCAGCAATTGAAGATATCGTTACATTCTCACTCGTTATTAATAATGTGATATTTATATGAAAAAATTACCTAAGAAAGTAATATAGTAGTATTTTAATGTACTTAGTAGTACGCTTTATTAGTTAACTAGCTGTTCCCGTGCGGCTTCATCCGCATGAAATTTTGAAAATTTTACTTTATTGTTTACATTTGTCAAATTATCAATTACAAATGTCAAAATGACATAGCATGACAAACCTTAACAATCTTGCTTTCTTGATATTGGCAGCAACTTATGGTCTCTTTCCCACATTAGGGTTTTTATCCAAATTATTTACCTCCTAACTTTAATGGCGGGAAAATATATGGTCTAAAGCACGACGTAATTGTAGGGCTTTTTATTAAAAAAAGGATTATTCAAAAATATTCTGTAATTGCTGACATCTTAGGCAACAAAGAAGTGTGTCTTAATGCTTTATTATATTAGTATAGATAAAAAAATACGAAATAGTTTTTGATTACGAAAAAATGAATCAAATGATGGACAACTAGGAATTATGAATAAACAAGAAAACAAACCCGAATAAAAAACCTTTTTACAGTGGTAGTGCCCGCTTTAACATCATAGCACGAATGGGCCGGTACGCCCGGTGTAATACCACGACCACACAGAAGACAGGCGTGAAATGGAAGCAATTCCGTGTTTCGTCTGATGAGTGTGGTGCCGGAGGCCTAATTTAAGTCCCTTTCTCTTTACCACCCTTTTCTTAAAAGGAGAGGATGGGAAGGGGAAGTTGATTTGACTGTGGAGGAGATGCACAGGAAGGGGATATATCCTCTTTATGTGCGTCTCCTCCTCCGTCGGATAAGGGTAGACAACGCATCTGTAATTGCGGATGTCTATAGGCAGCGGTCGCTTCGCCATTTTGGCGGATTCATGTGGCCGTTTGCTCGTTTGCCACCTTATGTTATAAAAAAAAAACCTCTTTTTAAGTTGGTTCAAAAGGGAATGTCTTGATTCTTTGAACTGCGTGT